GGAAGGGTGGAGGGTGTGAAGGGAGGGCTAGGAATGGGGAAAAAATAAGAACCAAGATACTCATGTAATGGTACAAGATCCCAAAGATGTATGTAGCTATATTTTATACGTAAAATGTACCAATAAACTTAATGGGGGGAAAAAATGGAAAGGCACAAATTTATCCTTCCTTGTAGCCAAGTAGCACTCCATTGTGTATAGGAACCACATTTTCTTTATCCATTTTTCTGTTGCTGGACATATAGGCCACTTCCAAGATTGAGCTATTATGAGTTATGCTGTTATAGACATTGGTATGTGTGTATTGCTGTAATATGAATGTCTTTAAACCTTTGGAAAGATGCCTGGGAGGGGAATAACAGGGTCAAATGGAATTCTAGTTTTAGTTTTTTGAGGAATCTCCATACTGATTTCTATAATGGTTGTACTAGTTTACATTCCCACCAGCAGTGTATGGGTTTCCTTTTTCCTCTGCAGCCTCTCCAGCATTTGTTATTTGATTTTTAGATGATGGCCATTCTTTCTGGTATAACATGAAATCTCAGTGTTCTTTTAATTATATTTCTTTAATGACCAGGAACGTTGACCATTTTTTCATATAGTTATTGGCCATTTGTATTTCTTCTTTTGAGAAGTGTCTGTTCATTTCAGTTTCCCATTTTTTGATTGTGTCTTTTATTTGGGGAGGGTCTAATTTTTTTATTTCTTTATATATAATGTCAAGTGAAATACATTTGGGTTACATTAAATACTCTATATTTTCTCTCATATGAGAGATCCAAAGTATAAATGGAGAAAAAAGGACAGGAAAAACGAAACAGGAGGGCAGATCTTTTGCAAATAGGAAGAAGACCAAGAGATGGAGGGTGGGGGGAAGGGAGGACATGGAAAAAATTGAGATATGTTGTGTACATGTACCAGCTACCCACAATGAATGTAATCATGTGCTGCAAACATGAACTAAAACAAAACAAAAAAAAGAAATAAAATGTGGGAAGGAGATCTAAAGACATAGGGGTAGGGAAGAGGAATAAAAAGAATTAAGATATATTAAGTATGTGTGCCTAATCCCTAAGATGAATGTAAATATTATATACTGCAAATATGCACTAATAAAATGTAAAATTTAAAAATGGAAAGAGTATCAGGTCACAATGAGCATTATGTTTAATTCTGAGTTCAAATGAATTACTTAGGCACCTGAGAACTACTAATAGTTTTACAAAGAAGCAAAATATTGTAGTAAAGACGTATATTTTAGAGGAATTAGGAAATAACAATGTATCATTTCAATATTTCAAAGAACAATGAAATCCAGAACTCAAATTATAGCGTGGGGAGATCAAAGAGAAAGGATAGATGAGAGTGCAAGGACTTGGCAAAAGATTAAATATAGCAGAGAAGGACCAGAAGGAGTCAAAGTTGACCTAACCTGAATGCTGCCATGTTTGTTATACCATTCATTGTTATGGTGCCCAGAAAAGGACTGAGAATATTTTGGAGAAAACATAACTAGTTGTGTGTGAAGTCTGGTAAGCATCTAGAAACTGAAATCCAGAGTCTGTAATCAGGAGTAAGAGGGATGGGCTTTGAGAAGTGATCCTACCCTAAACTATTTGGGAGTAGACACAATCACAGAATACATGATTAGAGAGAGCATTTTATTAAAAGTTAATTGTGGAAAGAACATTTGGGCCCCCTTTGAAAGAGCAGTGAAAAGCATGTACCTCTACTCAAAAGTTTTTTCTCAGTGGGGTCAGAGTAGACTGGATAGGGCAGCGTGAGACATATCACTGTAATTCCTTAAACTATAAGAAGAACAGACAACATCAGTTCAACTAATTTGAGTTGATCAAACTAAAATTGTGTGCAAAACAAGAGTAAGAATCTATAAATGAGATACTGAAAGGTCCTTTTCTACTTTGTCTAGTTTGTGGCTGTGCCCTAAGTAGGTGATCTTGCTGTTAACTATTTCCAAAGAGAAAAGTTATTTTTTATTATACATGGGAAATATTTTTTATTGTTTAAAGTTACTATTAAAGGACTCTGACTGTCATGTTGCTAATTTATATAATAACTCAAAATGGTTTTTAATCCAAATTTGCACTTATATGATGTTTAGAATAGATTGTAATTTGGAGAAAGATTTATTCATGTTACCAAACAACGTGTTTGCTATGCTACATACATCTGTATGTCTCTGAGTGAACCCCTTGACCCAGGTATGGAAAAAGACCCAGTAGGATGCATAGTGAGCGTACACTTGGGGTTTGTTGCATGTCTTTGTTTTTTTTTTTAATTTTATAATATAAAGAATTAGTCATTTTCATTTTAAAAGATAGATAAAAATTATAAAACCTAAACTAAAGAGTTTGAGTGATTAGTATAAACTTACATGTGCAGTTAGTAATGGCCTTGTTTGTTATTCCTTTGTCCTCTCAGAATTCTCCTACTTGGTGGGTTGTTACAATAGAAGTAGGAGTGCTGCCAGGGCCCAACACTTGTTCAGGAATGGCCTGCATCCCACTTGTCACTTTCCATGCTGAGTTATTAGCTGCCTTTTGTAGTCCATTGATAGAGACCAAAGAAGGTACCCTCACTGAGAATGAAAAAACACCATGCTTTCATTGGAGGAGTTGATTTAGCTTTTCCTCAATCAGATCATGAGCTCCTTGGATATTAATATCCAGCCACTCCCAGATCCCAGCTCCTTCTGTCTTCTAGAGAACAGCCCTGTTGCCCAGTCAGTATGGATTCTGCCCTTCTGCAGTGTTGATCCTCTGGCCACAGCTTCGTGATCCTTCATGCTCTGTCACTGGCCCTGTCACTTCAGTCACTGTCTTAGTTACTTTTCTCATTGCTGAGACAAAATACTGGACACCCAAAGTTAAAGGAGAAAAGGTTTATTTCAGCTCCCAGTTTGTAGAGGTTTCAGTCTGTAATCAGTTGGCTCTAAAGGGACATGTCATGGTAGAAGGGCATCACAGAAGAGAAACAATTCATGGCAGGCAGAAGGCAGCAAAGCTGCAAGCCGCAAGTGACCACAGCAGTCCTCTTTCTGTCCCTTATATCCTATCCAGGCTACACACCCTTAGGGCAGATAGCACTCACACCCAGGGTGGGCCTTCCCATTATCCATACCCAGAACTATGCCAAACCAATTAGTAGACTAATTTAGTAATCACAAACCCACAATCCCAGCATCACACACTCTAGATCCAGCCACCTCTGAAAAGTCCCACCTATGACCACATAAAGCTTTGTGGGAACATCTAGATACAAGCCATAAGAGTCACTCAGCCCAAGTTTTATTTTTCTGCCTTTATCTTGTGATGTAATATGGTTAACTCAAAGATTTTCACTTTACATTTTTCATTTTCTCACTCATTCACTAGAGCATCCTGCATTTTTTGTATTTATCTCCCCAAACCATTTGCACTCAAAGTTTACCATTAAGTTTATATGAGAAAATAGCAATGAAAGGTATAGATATTTCTGAATGAAAAGAATTTTTAAGCACATAGTTGGTTTTAGAGTATATTTGCTATTTCCATTCAGACCTCAGGGTGGGGGGGGTTATGTTTTTGTTTTCTTTATTCTCTATAGTTAAAGTAGTGCAATTGGCTCTAGCTTGATTATCCACACTTCAGTACTATTTATACCTTTGGGAAAAATCTCCCTGGGTTTGTTTGTTTGTTGTCATCATTGTTTGGTGTTCTTTGTTTGATTTTTTAGGCAAGGTCTCACTACAGTTCAAGCTGCCCTTGAACTCACTGTGTACCCCTGGCTGGGCTTGAATTCACAACAATCCTGCATCAGCCTCCCAAAGTGCTGGTATTACAGGGGTGCACCACCACACCTGGCTTCTTCCTAGGTTTTGATCTAGAGAGAATCCTGGGTCATCTTCATTCCTTCTTCCCCAGTTCTCACTGGCGTTTGAATCGTACACATTTGGTCTCTGAAATGAGTCCTGTTAATTCCCACTTCCTCTACATTAGTTCAAAGGTTTGTCTGGCATAGTATTGTAATAGTTAAAGTGACACACATTACCTGTGGCCTTGCCTCTTTTCAGTTTATTCTTTCCATTTCCACCTAAATTCTTGAAGCTTAAGTCATATTATATTACCCTGTCGGTCAGCAACTCTGTGCCGACATATTCTGACAGCATGTCTTAAAACTGACACAGAACCCAAGTCCAAGGTGGGATGCTAGAGTTTCTTTGCAAGGCAGTCACTCAGAACTTGGATTACATTTTCCATGTGGAAGCTATACATGGAAAATAGGCTAACAAGCCAGCTGAAACTTTAAGTTAAACGCTCTATGATCACTGAGGCCTACCCTGCATAGTTAACAGCATTTCCATAGAAATGGCCTCCCAGGTAGGTGCCCAGTTGGTACATCAAGACAGGGCATGGGTGTGTGTTGGGATTGGGAGAGAACACTCCCTTCCTATTCTTCTCTGGATATGCAGATTTAATAGCAGAGAAAAAAACTAGTATTTATCAGTGGCCTAATATGAGTCAGGCTCAAAATTAGGCACTTTATATAATATTGTCTTCATTTCCCTAACTGCTCTGTGAAATAGTTATACTCCTTTAACAGATGCTTAACAAATTAATAATGTAAATAATATAACAAAAGAAATGCTTACATGACATAAGAGGATATTGTTTTTAAGCACTACTTTTCAGACTTTAGTAATTCATAGGCCCTTTTTAATTGAAAAAATAATTGCAGTCTCATTGTTGACACATATTATTATAATTTTACTTAAATACAAACATAAAATTAGGTATAAATTTCTCATATTTATACTTCGCATTTAGTTATAAGCCAAAACAAATTTAAAATGAAATGCAAAATAAGGTTAATATAATATGATAAATGATGTTTTACTGAAAGCAAATTGCTGCTTATAATGTTCGTGTGGAGCTGCCTGCCTCTCCAGTTTCCTTTGCAGCTTTCATTATCATTGAGTCTTGTGCTGTGTTTCCTTCTAGGATATTGTCAATCCAAGATTGGAACAGTACACAGTGATTGCGTCATGATGTCATTTTGGCTTTTACTTCGTGGGACCGAATCATTTACATATTAAGTGAGCTGCCTTTTTTTGTTATTTCTTAAAATTAAAGTGGTATGTTTGGTGTTAGCTTGGACTACAAACACAAATATATATGGAAATCATATTGCTGTGCTTAGTTAATAAGTGGCCATTGCAATGATCCATCATGTTTATATTATATTTTATTATAGATAAAAACTTTGTTTTAAGCACTTTTGAATAACTCATAGACCCTTGAGAATATATCCTGGATCCCAGCTTGAAAAATTCCCTTTTAATGTATTTTAAAGCCATTATGTATTTATAACCATTATAAAAATAATTCTTATGTATTTATTAGAATAGTTCTTCCAAATACCTTTACCAGAAAAGACTAGTTGGTTACATTTCCTTGAAGCAATAAATCTATATTTCTTCAAAGTGTTGTATAATTTAAACTTTCATAAATTTAGATGTATTGGTTCCCTTTAAAAGTCTAAATGATAAATGTTTTACAGTATTATTGCATACTCTTTTCTGTAGCTGGAGAAGGTAAATTTTAGTTTGACTGGAAAAAGAATATCTTCTACCAAAGATACTAGTCACACAAGACAATAAAGTCTCCAAACACAGTGAAGAGTTACAATGATAGTTTCTCTCATTGTATTGCTATAAACATATAAACATTCAAGTGGGCTCTTTCAGAATAATCGATTGTTTTCATATTTCTCTTTCCAATTGCCGATTTCCTTTTCCCTTCTCTTTCTTCCCTTGAGTCTTACACTGCCCTTCCCCTTTTTCTTATTCCCTTTTCTTAATGTGGAAATGACCTGCCTTTTTACATCTCAGCCAGCTGTGATGCCTTAGTTTAGTCTTCAGCCCAACTTTCTTCATTTGACAGCTGGCTCTGAGGTTGGGGGCAGTGGAAAGTAGGATCGCAGCAAGGTGACCTCTAGCAGCATCTCACCCCTCACTCTAAACCAGCCATCTCAATGGCCCCTCCAAAGCAAAGTGGCTCCTGACTGGCTGGGTTGGATAGAAGATCAAGCTTGATTTGCCATATACTGAAGTACAAAAGCACAACTTAGGGGTAGCTATTAGCTAGATGCCTGTTTACTTTGCCTTGTTCTACAATAAGCATGTGGGCCTGCCCATCTGAGGCCTGAGCTCGAGAATGTGTGTGTACCTATTTGCAGCTCTTCTGCATTCACAGTGAAGTCCCCTGTCCTGGACAGTGCTGCTGCTGAGTGGACCATCTTTTGGATACTACCATGAGATGTCTAAAGCAGCCTCCAGATTCCAGGATGGCTGAGCTCTGCCATTTATGTAAAATTTTTTTTTTTGGTACTGGGGATCGAACTCGGGTCCTTGCCCTTGTCAGGCAGGCGGTGGAACCACTGAGCTAAATCCCCACCCTCTGCCATTTATGTAGACCTGCATTCATTCACTCATCCCGGCTCTGCCATTTACTAGCTGAGTGGCCTTGGGAAGTTCCAGTTTCTTCATCTGTAACATAGCACTAAATAGTGTGTATATCACAGAGTTTTGGTGAAAATTAAGAATTTTCCTGTGTAAATTGCTTCAAATAATACCTTTGTAGTCAGCAAGCACTTATTTAGTATCTAGTGTGTTCCAAGCAATCCAAGAGATAAAGAGATGGAAATGATGTAGCTCTGCCTTCTAGGAATTTACATGATTACAAATACCATATAGTATTATGGTAAATGATCTAGAGAGTCAGGAAATCATCATCACAGAGCTAAAGCTTGAACTAGATCATGAAGGACAAATAGAGTTTTGCCATCTGGAACAGCATTAGAGGAGACACATTCCAAACCGAAGAAACGAATTATGAACACAATAGACTTGAGAGACTGGAGTCCTGGGCTGTTAGATAACATTTAACCTCTTCTCCCATGTATACCTTTCTAAGCAGGAGGCTGAAGTGGGCTCAGGAAACATTTTGAAACTTGTAATAATAACTAGGAATAGTATTATTTAACTGCTTCATCAAAGAGTTTAAACAAGCCAGGAACTGAGTGATGCTGCTCTGCCATGGTGCATTTACTGTTGCACAGTTCCTACCCTGAGATGACTACCATGTGACAGGAACAGTAAATTGTTACAGAAAACGTGTGTGGTTAAAACAAAAAGGCTTCCCCTTTTAATAGAGCTTTTATTAGATTTTCATAATTAAACAAGTTTTACTTTGGTTTCTTATTTAGACAAAGACCTCATGTCTTAAGATCTTGCCTATTTTTGTGATAGCAAGGAACTGTGATTTTTTATTTTTTATTTTTTTGTCTGAACTCAAGAAGATTCTTTCTTACTCATGGAATTTCCATTTGTGTACCAAATTAAATCTGTATGTTATCTTCTACAAAACCTCTTCCTGCAGCTTTGCTTTCACTTCCTCTCCCCACCCTTTTAGTCAAGTACTGAAGCTTGGCAACTGGTAGAGGTGTCAGGTCAGCGTTTTTCACTGTGGAAGAAGGAACGGTTGAGAACAGTGATGTGGGCATATTTGTCACATTTTCCTTTGTTTTTTCATATAAGTGACCCACACGTTCCATTACAAAAGTCTAATGAAAACCTTGGCTTGTAAATTTTACACTCACATCCTGGAGACAGACTACTGTGTGCATGATATATGGAAGATAGTTCCTCAGTGACTGGTAGTCCATGTACAGCAGTGAGGATTCCTGACTGTGCCTCCAAGGATGGGACAGATGTTTTGGAGAGATAATGGCCTTCAGGAGCTACAGGATTGGAGAAGGAGCTCGGTCCTCCTTTCTGGTGAATAGATTCTCCTTGGGTGTCTTTAGGGATTGCAGTCTTTGTGGGGTTTAACAGACCACCTCCTCACACCCTCTTCAGGAAAGGGAATTGCATCTAGTTTGAGGAACTCCAGCTTTTTCAGCTGACCACTTTCAAGATTGAAATCAGGTGTGGATTTGGTTGTTTTGTATCAAATCTACTTGAAACTGTTGGACTAGAAGCAAGCTAATTATTATTATTGTAAAGCTGCAGAAAGAGTGAAAAATAGTAACAAGGGGCACAGATTTAGCTCAGTGGTTCCGTCACCTGCCTTGAAAGTGCAAGGTCCCGAGTTCGATCCCCGGTACCAAAAAAACCAGTAACAGATTCTTAAAGGGCTGTCACAACTTGAAGGGAAATAGGTTACTCTTGAATAGCTTTATCTAGAGCCTAAAGGACCTGGTTCTGGAAACTGTCAAATACGAAATGAAACTTTAGATCACAGAATCCTGACTAGCTTCTAGGGCAGCTTGGGCCATTAAACTCTCCCATATACCATTTCATCTGGAAGGTTTGCTTGGAGATGATAAGGAACAGATGAGCTTTCTTAGCAAACATTCCATTTGGGTGCTCTGTATCAAACCTGTTCTGGAAAATAAGGAGAGGCACCAGCATGGGCTCTTAGACTTCCTGTCTAAGTGCCCCAGGAGACACATTTCTTATTTCTCAAGCACAACTCTAGTGACTCGAGCTTCCCTTTTGGCGAATGTCAGAATTGAGCAGAGAAAGCTGCAAATTGTTGATTGCCACTGGAGTTATTTCACATAGGCTGTAACGCTTGCTCTTTGAACATACCTACATCTGGTACAGCTACTCTAAGAGCCTGTTAGAAGTTAGAATAGTTTTGACAGTGTCTTTACATATCTCCACTCCTAATTAGTGTTGAAATGAAGCCCTCAGAGTTCAGGTTTGTGGCTTAGACAGTAGCTCCATCTGGTGCTTGCCGAAGGTGTTTGCTTGGTTTGCCTCCTGGGGTGGCAGCATGAATACAGATGTGCACAGAACTGGTAAAGGTGTCAGAGCCAAGATGAGTTTTTCTTGTGCTCAGCACTGACACAGCCTGCTTTTCTGCAGAATCTTGTTTGGCAATGCTGTTGATAATGTGACAGCTGCTGATCACCTCAACAGCCGTCTTTGGACTGAATTAACTGACACTCAAAGTGAGGAATTATTTTTCATATTTATTAGTCTTGGAAAAAGAAAATGTACTACTTACAATGAGGAAACTTAATCCTTTATCAGGGGTGAGTTTAACTTGATTAACAAACTATTAGGCTAGGATGTCTTAAGTGCCACATAGTGTTAAGTACATAGAGGGTGTGTGTGTGTGTGTGTGTGTGTGTGTGTGTGTGTGTGTGTGTGTGTGAGTATTTTTTTAATTTCTTGATGACTGGCAGGAACTGCTCTCTGTTAGCTTTCCATTTCTGTGACAAAATGCTTGAGATAAACACTTCAAAGAGAGGAAAGGTGTATTTGGGTTCATAGTTTCAGAGTTTCAGTTCCTGGTCACTTGCCCTGTTGCCTTTGTGCCTGCAGGGTGGCAGCACATCATGGAGTGCATGTGACTGACCAAAGAGGCTGCTCACCTCACAGCATCTAGGAGGGGGGACTAGGACCCCAGCATCCCCTCCACAGCATTCCCCAGTGACCTGACTTCCTTCCAGTAGACCTCACCTCCTGAAGGCTCACCACCCCCAATAGCATCACAGGCTGGCTGTCATGCCTTTAGCATGTGGGTCTTTGGAGGACATCTAAGATGCAAACCGTAACATGCCCCAGACTTGTTACTTCTGAATAATAAAATTATACATGGTTTCTGTCTTCTTTACACTTTTCTGAGTTTTCACAGTAACCACATACAAAAGAAAAAACTAACCAAAAAAAAATTTAAAACAAAACATATAGATAGCTGCAGCCTTAATTAAGCCCCAGTTCCAGATCTCATCCATTGTGTGAACTCAGGAAAGGCACTTTCTTTTCAGGGCTTGGTCCCTTGTCCATAAAACAGAAGGACTGAACTAGGGCCCTACTCAGTTTTACAGTCTGAGATTTGTGTTATCCCTTCTCTTTGCCATCTTGTCAGCCTCTGCCGCTCTCTGGTGTCTTTCCCCAGTATTATCACTCAACATTTTCTAGTTTCTCCCATCTTAATGTGAGGAAATCCTTTCTGGATCTGCCCACCCCCCTAACTTTCTTTCTTCATCTTCCTACCTAAGCTTTTTGAAAAAGTTGAACAA